CGCAGGTGGTGGTTTTCCTCCCTCCCCCCTCGGTGTTTGGTGGTCGTGCTTGGTTTTTTGATGTTTTTTGTTGATTTTGTTTTTCCTCTGTTTTTTCCCCTCCCCATTCATAAGAACTCCACCCCCAAACACCTCCAACGAAAAACGTTTCTGTTTTCCCCACCTGGATATGGAGGAGAGACCAAATCCTAGAACCGTTGGGAACGGCGCAAGGGAACTCACGTGGATTTCAAGTCCATCAGGAACTGAACTCCCTCAACACTTGCTCCAACCCCTGGCCTTCCTTTGCTTACGATTCCCCCCCCCCCAAAAAAAAAAAAACAACAACAAAGGAGCTTCCATCTTTTTTCAAAATTCTCCTGTTGGTTTGAAAGGGAATCTATCACTACTGTTTTTTTGTTTGTTTTGTTTTTAAGTTTCGTCCAGGGGACTTGAGCAAACGGAGGAAAGGCTTCCGGCGACGCCGATGTTCAGGCCACGCCATGGCAGTAAGGGGTCTTACTTTTTGGGAACCAGGTGGGTAGGTGTGCGTAGAGGGCGGATGTTCCTCTTATTATTTTCTAAGAGAAAGACAGTCCGTTGGCTTTGGATCCTCTTGTTCTCCTTTTCCACCTACCTTTGTGCCGAAAGGGGGCCTTTCGAGCATCCCTCGGCTGTTTTGTTTTGGGGGAAGCCCGGAACCCATTAGTTTCTATTTTTTATTCCTCTACCTCCAACATGGCAGGGGCATCCACAGTTCCGTCTACTTGGTGGTTTGGATTAGTTTGGTGGTTGGGATGGGGTGGCTCCCCTTGTACCCTCCAAACCCTCCGGGTTGCTTGAGGTTCTACTGGATCGGCGACATTGTGCTGTCCTTCTTCACCGGATACCTGGAGCGGGGCACGCTGGTGCAAGACGCGCCCACCATTGCCCGGCATTATTTGAGGACGTCGCGAGTGGCTCAAAGGGATACCAAGGCAAGACCCCAAGGGGATACTAAGTAGATACCAGGGGATATCAGGATATCCTTTACACTGACGCAGTGGTCAAGCAGATGGCGCGTGTTTGTATGAGAGAAAGGTGATCCTTATTTTGACCTTTTTGGGCTTTTATGTCCCCAAGCAAAAAAGCCATTGGGCCTCCCACGTTTCCGGTTTTTCTGATCGGCTTCTTGCTCTCACATTTCTTTTCTGGGGGTTCCTCCTCCCTACTTGGATATCAACCAACTTAAGGTGCACGTATGTTACGAGGGGAGTTATATCCATGGTTATATCCTAGTACTACTCAGAGGGGTGGGATACCTCCTTTCGGCGTTACGTTCGTTTTTCATTGCAGACTTAGCTCGCCTTTTTGTGCGCTGTTCATGTCCTCTTGGGCGCATTTTGCTTGGATGTCAGGACTTTAACTTTTTGCCAACTAATGGGTTTTCCATGACACCACTAAAAGTAAAACTTTTAGCAGGGGAGCAGAAAGCCACCGAGTTGCAGCGATCACTTTGTGGCGGGGGGTGTCTGGCCCAGTTTCGGTTTGAAACCCAAGCTGCCCTGATCCGCGAGGACCTGGTTCCTGGTGGACCTGGCGGTCAGTCTCACGGATCCTGGGACGTCTTGAGAGCGTTGGTTGCGGATGCCCGCCTTCCCCGTTTCGCAAAGAAGCCAACAAAGCATCCAACCATGGTACTTGGTGGCTCCCAGCCATCCAGGTAGCTTTTTAGCCTTCTACTAGTGTTTAGTGGTAGTTTCCATTTAGCCCAAAATACATGGTGGTTGTTGGGAAAAACATTACATTTCTGCTTGTTGTGGTTTAGTGGTTGAAATCCAACCACTTGACTGCTAAAATGTGAAATTTGTGCTCCCCTTCCAACGTCAACCAAGAATAAGCCAACAAAGCACCCAACCATGGTACTTGGTGGCTCCCAGCCATCCAGGTAGCTTGTTAGCCTTCTACTAGTGTTTAGTGGTAGTTTCCATTTAGCCCAAAATACATGGTGGTTGTTGGGAAAAACATTACATTTTTGCTTGTTGTGGTTTAGTGGTTGAAATCCAACCGCTTGACTGCTAAAATGTGAAATTTGTGCTCCCCTTCCAACGTCAACCAAGAATAAGCCAACAAAGCACCCAACCATGGTACTTGGTGGCTCCCAGCCATCCAGGTAGCTTGTTAGCCTTCTACTAGTGTTTAGTGGTAGTTTCCATTTAGCCCAACATACATGGTGGTTGTGGGGAAACACATTACATTTTTGCTTGTTGTGGTTTAGTGTCTTTGCTCCCCTTCCAACGTCAACCAAGAATAAGCCAACCACACCCAACCATGGCACTTGGTGGCTCCCAGCCATCCGGGTAGCTTTTTAGCCTTCTACTAGTGTTTAGTGGTAGTTTCCATTTAGCCCAACATACATGTGGTTGTTGGGAAAAACATTACATTTTTGGTTGTTGTGGTTTAGTGTCTTTGCTCCCCTTCCAACGTCAACCAAGAATAAGCCAACCACACCCAACCATGGCACTTGGTGGCTCCCAGCCATCCGGGTAGCTTTTTAGCCTTCTACTAGTGTTTAGTGGTATTTTCCATTTAGCCCAAAATAAATGGTGGTTGTTGGGAAAAACATTACATTTTTGGTTGTTGTGGTTTAGTGTCTTTGCTCCCCTTCCAACGTCAACCAAGAATAAGCCAACCACACCCAACCATGGTAGATTGGGGTACGCTTTGGGGTTCTTTGCTCCCTTACTTGCAAGATTTGGGGCCCGTAGGATCCCAGAAATTTCTCCTTTGGCGGGTTGGAGCACGTACTTGCCTTTGATGCCTTTTGGGGTAGCTGGTAGCTACACCTTTTCGGTAATCGCAAAGCAAAGGTAACATCAACCCTTGGTTAGTGGGAACTCACTGGTTGAATTTTCAGAACATTTCCCTAGCCTTTGAACGAGGCGAAGAAGACGACGAATTGCATGTTGCCATGTTTGGAACCCTCCAGGGTGGGTCTCCCTTGGGTTTCTCTATATGGCAGTGGGTCAAAACCAATGGTACCATTTTAGTGGTGGATTGGGATGTTCACTGGTACGTTTTGGATTTTGGCCCATGGCCATATACAGCTGGGGTTACGCAGGTTTTAGTCTACCTTTCTATTTGCCAGGCCCTATTTTTGATTTCTACCCATATACAAAAGAGATACCCTCATCCGACGAAGGATGTCATGCTCGAGTTCGGGCACATGACCGATTCGCTGGGGGAGTCAGCCACCGCTTCACGCGCCACGGCGCACGAAGTTTAGGAGGTCTGACATGGGAGTGGCATTGAGGCTAGCCTTTTGGGGGGTTCATTTAAACGAACAAAGGGAAAGCACCATTTTGGGTGGTCCCCAACCCAACTGGATGCTTTTTGAGGCTTGGTACGTTTTGAAGGGGTACCAGAAGGAAACCACATTTTTTTGGGGTCACAGTGGTTTGACACACCAAAATAGAGAAGCAAATCACGTTTATGCCCCGTCGTTGGACGGACCAACTTCTACACTAGTTGCAGTCTGCACAGGGTTTCATCCATGCCAACTGGTGTAGGGCTTTGTCCATCCACGGTGCGGGAACCCCCAAAAGGAGGACTGTAGGAACTTGAGCAGAAAAGGTTCGACCTCTTGCATGGGATTTGGCGGATCTGGAACCTTTCACATCTTAGGAATATGCGCGTGTGCGCGCGTTTCTGCCATGGCAACAAAGTCCGGGGGGCAGTAGCCACACTAAGTTCTTGCACATTTTGACGGCTTCTCAATGGTATTGAAACACAACTCAGACGGTAGTTTTGAGGACGTCAAAGCCTCCCCTAAAAGTCGGACAATGGGGAAACTGAGACAAATAGGACAACGGTGAAATGGTTTAGGCGGGGTTCGCCGCTTTGGATGAACTTGCTCCCACTCACATAGAGGTACACCAACTCCCTGTTTGGAGGAGTTTCTGCTGGTTTTCAGGGGATAGCGCCTAGGTACTGTGGATGGAATGGAGGACATCTGCACCGGTTTTTTTTAAAACAGAAAAGTCATCATTCCAGGGTTTCGTAGGTGGTGCGAAATGGACTTCGTCACCATCCACAGTATTTCCCTTCAAGCGACGATAGCTTTGAGGGGAGTTGCACAAGCGTTTGCACAGGCATTTTTTCTGATTCAGTTGGTTGAGAATAGATGGAACCAAGCCGGGCTTCAGTTAGGGTATGTAACATACCAGTGCCATCTACTTTTCCAAACACGTAGGTGTTTTTTTTTTTGCTTTCTTCTTGATTCGAAAAGTAGCGTTTCCATCGGACGCAAGGAGGTTTCCGTTTTGGAGTTTGTTCTCTAAAAGCCGGGCGGTTCACTCCGCATGGTCCCGTAAGGGTGTCGGATGGACGGTGCGGGTGGATTTGACAGGTTTCCCTGTAGGCTAGGTTCCCCAGAAGTGCCCTTTTACCCTTTTCTGGGGGAGGGTTCCCCTGCTAAAAATAGACTACAGAAAAAAGGATGCCATTATTCTAAGCTCTCTTCTGGAGGACCTGCTAGGGATAGATAGATTCGGCCATCCCACCATTTTGAACAGTCCAATGGTCTTCGTTGCAAGCTGGGTGGGCGGTTATTTCAGTAGGTTTGCACTGTTGTGGGAGTCGGGATTGCGCATTTCGTCAGGGTGGGGGCAATGTGGGTAACAGTCAGAGCTTGGCGCCGGTCAAAGGAAGTCAAGAGCAGGTGGGATAGTTTTTGCTCCACAAAAATTCGACCTCAAGGTCAAGTCCTCTGGGCGTCCGAGGCTTCCTGCGGTTCCTGCGGATCTTCCGCATGCTGCGCCTGGGCAAGGTGAGCCGCGTGTCCGCCTTTCTGCAGGACAGCTTCGAGTCCGAGGCGGGCGGTGGGCCCCTTTTTTGGCCGGGTGGGGAGTTTGGGTCGCGCTTCTTACGCCCAGAGGGTAAAGATATGGCTTTGGTTGTTGGGGCTTTTTGGCAGGTGCCGGCATGTCCTATCAGCTTATGCTAGATATGTATATACATATATATATATATATGTATAGATAGATAGATGACGCGTGTGTGAGGCCCAGAACTGCAGCCATTTTCAAGCCCCAAAAATTGGGTCCGGCATGAGCTTTACCGCCCTCGGAGGTTAGACATTCAATGGGATTCCCCGCTTCGTCGCCCCAACAATTCCCAAAGGCAGCTGGGTGGCCGCAGCAAAGAGATCCTGCTACGGAGGTTCCAGTCTTTAAATATGTTTATTAATATATTTGTATTAATATATTTATTAAATTGTAAATAAATATAACATCATATAAATAGCTAAATCAATTAATCAAACATCAATAAGTATAAATAATAATAATATAAATAAACAATAATACCAAACCATTAACCCTCCCAGTCCTCAGAATGGGCAAAAGGTAGGAGCATCCTTCAGCACGGGTGGACATGAATCATTGGCGTGTCGTTTTTTCCTACTTTGTGCCCGGCGTTTCCGGGAGGCCGGGAGGCCAATGGAAAACCGTTGATTTCCATTTCGGGGGTCAGCGGCTTCCCCTCCTGCAAAGTATGGCACACGTTGCCTCGCTCGTTTGTCCAAGAGGTGGCCTCGATTCAGTTCAGCCTCTTCCTGGTGATGGTGGCTATGTTTTTGGTGGAGCACGTCATCGCCTGTTTTTGGTTCGGCCTCGGGGGCGATGGGGGCTGGCTGGCAGATGGCGCTCAGGACAGACGTGGTCTCCTGAAAAAAGGGAAGCCAAGAAGTTGCGGAACAACTTCTTACTGGCGCCTTGAGGGGATTCTGTTGCGGGGGGGGGGGGGGCGGGGTTGCCATGACTTTGCATAGGCATTGTTTGGTAATACTCAGGCTTGTGTTCCTTTTTGGGTTGGTTTCCCTTCACCGCTAACCGAGAGGGTACAAAATTTGTCCTCAGAGGTCTGGGGGAAGCCAATGGATGGTGGGTAGCCCCAAATAACTCGGAAACGAAGAAGTTAGGAAAGAAAGAACAGGGAAAAGAAAAGCAAAGAACAGAGCAGAGCAGAACCGAAAGGAAGGAAGGATGGAAAGAAGGAAAAGTAGGAAAGGAAGGAAAGGCAGGAAGGGAGGCAAGAAAGGAAAGGTAGGAAAGGAAAGGAAGGAAAGAAAGGAAGGAAAGGAAAGGAAGGCAAGGAAAGAAAGGCAAGGAAAGGAAGGCAAGGAAGGAACACGACAAAGAACGAAGCCAAAAGACACAGAAACCTTCAAGAAGCAACGAGACACAGAGAAAGAAGGATAGACACAAAGACAGAAATTATCGAAAAGCAGAGAACAAAGCAGTCACTTAACAAGAAAGAAACAGCTAAGCAACGACGCAAAGAAATTGAGAAGCAAATTACAAATTTACTCATAAAGGAAATACAGAAGCACCCACACAAACAAACACACACAAAACAAACAAATCAAGCCAAACCACAGCAATCCAAGCCACACCACACCAAACCAACCCAAGCCAAACCAAAGCAAACCAAGCCAAGAAGCAAGCAAGCAGGCAAACAAGCCGAACAAAAGGGGCGTTTCTCAAACACCTAAGTAACAAGCCCATCTTTACCCTTCGAAATTAGAATGGCTTGGTTCACAAAAACAATCCTCCACCAGCAAAGATCAACAACGACAGCCTTTACCAGAAAGCAAGACAGCAAGAAAGAAAGAAAGACAGGAAGAAAAGATAACAACGAAAACATGAAACGAAAGAAGGGAAAGGAAAGACTCGCAGAAAGAAAGAAAGACAGAAAGGAAATCAAACAGTATTGAAAGAACGAAAGAAGAAAAGACAGAATGAAAGAAAGACCGAAAGGAATAAAGACAGAAAAAAAGAACAAGTAAGAATGGCAGAAAGACAACCAGCTTTTCTGGGGGTGATGTTTCCCTCCCCACGTCTACCTCCACCCCCTTCCCGCCTCAAGCATCACACCCTTGTCACATATGGGTCTGCCTGAAACAAACGTTCACCCCCAAATAACAATTTGCCTTACCAACCACAAGGGTATCGGACTCATCACCTTCTGGTTGGTTGTTTGGTTGGTTGGTTGGTTGGCTGGCTGCTGAAACACCCATCGGTCTGTCTCAAAATAGGGAGTACCCCCTTCCCCCCGCTCCCCCACAAAAAGCAAGAGTGCCAGATGTTTCCAGCTGTTTTTGGGTTTAGTTTGGTTTCTCAATACCTTCCATTCGTGTTTCAGAAAATTGTTTGTCTTTTGTCCTGTTGGTTTTTAGGGATTCTATCACCACTGGACCTTTTCGTTCTTTGTTTTTCAGGAGACTCAAGCAACTTGAGATACCCTCCCACCAATTATCATGGAAGACGTTCGGGGGGGTCCTGGTTTAGACCACTTCCCTTTCGTTTGGGACCATTTCCCAACTGTCACTACTGGACATTGTTCCCCCCCCCTTTGAGGTACTTACGCAAATGGAAGGTACCCTTGTTTGCTGGGGCGATGGGTAGGGAATGAGGGAATTTACTCAGTCCCCTGAAAGGAAATCACCAGTTGGATGGTTTAAATTGGGGCCATTCCATTTCTCATTCCCTGAGGATGTGGTTTTTCATGAGGATTTGGTTGCGGGAAGGGCGTAAACCATCCAACTGGTGGTTTCCTTTCAGGGGACCGAATTCTGGGTTCATTCCCACATTCCCTACCTATCGCACCCGCAAGCGTTTTGCTCGGTTTCCATCCATTTGCTTCAGAATATGTTTGTATTTTCCACTCTTGGTTTCTAGACGGAATCTATGAATACTGGACACGATTTTTGTTTTGTTTTTTTCTCCAAGGGGCGAAACAACAAATGGAAGTTTCCAACCATCCCCTGTGGTTTCCCTTAAGGGGACCGAATTCTGGGCCCATTCAACCACCTTCCATACCTATCGCACCGATCGCCGGCATGTTTTTTTCGTCCTAGGGTTTCCATCCATTTGCTGAAGCCTTTTTTTTTTAAAGCGGGGCTTAGGCAAGCAAATGGATGGAAGTGTCTGTGTCCTCCGCAAATGGGAAGTGGTTTCCCTCCATCCTTTAGCAAATGGAAGTGGTTTCCCACGTCCATTTGCTTAAGTTTAAGTTTTTTTTTAGTTTTTTTTTAGGGGCTTAGGCAAACGGAAGTGGCGTCCCACGCTCGGGGTCCCTCAGGACACGCTCTTCACGCAGTACAGCGCCTCCATGCGCTGGGCCTTGGCCCAGCTGGGCTTCGGCGCCACGGTGATCGAGGCGCGCACGGAGGCGCGGAGCGGCCGGGCGGGGAGAGACGTTCGGTCGGCTGGACGTGGGGGGACGGAAGCAGCGGACTGGGGCGTTTTTTGTTTTTGTTTTTGTTTGGGGGGGCACCAATTTGTTTTGGGAGCGTTTTTGTTGCGCTCCTCTTAGCTTCTCTTTAAAGAACAAGGGGTGAGGGGAGACCTCACTGCAAATCCGTTCGGCTTGCTCACTGGGAAGCAGCCGAGGATTGAAGGAATCACAGGGTCCTCGGAATCCACCAGAATGGTCCGGAAAACCAGAGCCAAAAGCCAGCTCTTGGATTCTCCTCTTTTTTTTGATTCTCCATTAGGGTATGTTAGAAAAAACGGGGGGACCCTGAAAAATGGGCGTCGTTTTCTTGGCTAAACGGACTTGTTTCGGTCAGGTTGTCCCCTTTAAACCCAGGTGTTGTCGAAAAGGAGCAATGCTTGAAAATAGGCCCAGATCAATTACCGAACTACTCTTGGCCTATTTCTTTTATTCGTCGCTGAGATTTATTTCTGTTTTACATCTTCGTTGCCGGGGAAACGAGTCTAAGGTGGGCTTTCTTGGTTCCAAAGAAAGCAATGGCCCTCACACATTAAAGTAACATTTAGAAGAAATAAAGCAATACAGATACAGTCAGGTTTTCAACAGGTGGCGAAGCCTCCGGCGAAATCTTCCCCCTTGATCGGATCGGATGGATCGGAAGGCGGAGGGCATGTACTCCAACTTCGTGGGCTTCATCTCCCTGGCGCCTTGCGGAGCCAAACGAGAGAGAAAAACGACCAAGGGGCGCCGTCTCCCATGGGGGGGGAAGGGGGGGGGGTTGATCACAAGGTTTGTATTATACACGGGACCACAGCTTCCGTTGGCGGAACCTTCTTCTTTTTTTTGACCTCGTTGGTTTGAAAGGGAATCGGCTTTACTGTTGGACATATATATATATATATATATTTATATTATTTTTCTCAGAAGACTTGAGCAAAAATGGAGCCAATGGGGGTTGATCAAAAGGTCATTTGTACATGGGGTGACCGTTGGTTGGAAACGACCAAAACAGAACCAAGACATGGGGGGTTGATCAAGATTTTGTATTTAGGGCGGGCCTCCTAGTTTTGAGCACAGGTAACACATTTCCCCATATGGTTGAAACATATCAAATCCTTGTTGAGGTGGTTTTCCAACCAATGGTCATCCCCCATTATGTAAACTTCACATGGGTTTGTCTCAAGATAGGAACCGGTACTCTCAAAATGTTTGGTCTCCTTTTGGCTTCCTTTACAACCCAAAAGGGTATGATCATGGGGTGCTTTGAAGGTCTATTCCCAGGCTGAACACACACGCACGCACACACACAAAGGTTGTTTTTTCCTTTATTTACGAGCTGAGCCGGCGCCTGTGTTCTTTTGCCCCCCCCTCCCCGGAAAAGGCCGCAAAGGTCCTCCATGCTTGTTTTCTGATTTTGTTGACGTGTTTGGTTTCAACGTTTTGATGTTGTTCCCCAGCAGGGTCGTTCTGACAGCTGTGACAGAGTTGACCCTGACAGCCGCAAGAGGCCCCCTGGCAGCTTAGGGATTCTTCTTGAGTTGCTCCTTTTGCTGATCGCGATTGATGTCTCAGTCCCTTCGAATTGCTTATCGCAGTTTTCGGCCTCTGCAAGTTTCCCCTTGGAATCCTTTATATTCTCCTTCATGTTTGCCGGGTTTTCAATTTGTTTGCTGCCCACGGGTCCTTCTGGAAGCTTCTGTATTTGTGCGTTTGGTTTGCTTTCCCTTTCCTCTGCCGTTTGTCCCTTTGTTTTGTCTTGCCTCTGTGCCGGCTTTTCAATCTCGAGTCGTTTTAAGCCTCACATGGTGCGGAGAGGCAAATTCCGAGGGCGTGCCCTCAAAGGGAGCGCCTCTAGGGGAGTGCCCTGGGGAGACTCGCAGACAAGCTCGGCCCGTCAGTATTTCATGGCAGGATGTGGGTGCCAGATTTCTTCTTCAAACATTTGAACTTCGCACGGCAGGAGCCAAAACCACACGTGTTCTTCTCCAAGACCACATAAAACCACACGTGTTCTTCTCCAAAACCACATAAAACCACTCGTGTTCTTCTCCAAAACCACATAAAACCACACGTGTTCTTCTCCAAAACCACATAAAACCCACACGTGTTCTTCTCCAAAACCACATAAAACCACACTTGTTCTTCTCCAAAACCACATAAAGCCACACGTGTTCTTCTCCAAAACCACATGTAATCTTCTCCATTTGTCGCTCGGCGCGGGAAAAATCCAACGCGGGGATGGGCTGCAGCCGTTCATCGGCGCACCCTAAGTGTAAGTCGTGCACCTGGCGCGACCGGCGCACTCGTTCGCACGGCTTGAGGTGAGCCACAGTCAAAACCAGGGTAGATAAAGGTTAGTAAGGGTCTGGGTCAAAAATGGGTACCCAAAATGGCTTGCCCTGGTAAATGGAGGATTAACGCCTGTGGTCCGATTCCTGGTGGTTGAATTTTGACCCACACCCACATGGTTCTGGGATTACCATTTGTTAATACCGGTTTTTCATCAATGTGGACCCCGGATGAATAAACCCTGTTGATTAATATGGAGGCGTCCCTGGTTTTAGTGGGGATTTATCACTTTTGTAGGGGAACACCCCCATGTTAATCAAGGGGTCAACATTATGCCTCAGGTGACCTCCTCGAGCGTGATCAGCTCCATGACGTCGCTGGTGAGCGCGCTGCACCGGAACCGCTCCGAGGAGACCAAGCAGCTGGGCCAGCTGAGGAGGCGGGCGAGGTCGATGGTTCTGGCCTTTGCTTTGGTCCAATGGATCCCAGGCGCTCAGGGCTCCCAAAAAAGGCGGGGGGTTTGCAAAGTGGATCAAGCAGCCGCTTCAAGGGCTGAATTGCACGGGTTTCAGCAGATTTCGGGGATGCTGAAAAAGCTTCATGTCCTTTTCTTTGCAACATGGCTGTTTCGCTCCGAGCGGAGCGGGTGGGCAGGTTCCTGCGCCAGAACCGGGTGGACCCGAACCTGGGGGAACGCATCATGCGGTTCCTGCAGTACACCTACCAGGAGCGTTTGTTGATCTTTTCGCTTTCTGCATGACGGTTCCCCGCAGCTTACCCGCAGACCTTTGCGATGGTTTCGAGTTTGGAAGGATTCGAGCCATGTTGGGCACGGGAATTGTGAAACCATGAAGTATTGTACGTTGCCGCAGCTTTGCCACCTCCATACAAACGGACAAGGTCATGGCTGGTAGATGTTTCTCATTTTCTAGGTGCCGGACTAGTATCTGGTGGTTTTACTTGCAACTCCTCATTCTCTGGGCGGTTGACTGGGAGAGTTTCGTGGGTCATCCTCTGTGGCTTTTGGGAGTCTTGCACAATTTGTGGGGTTTTGACAGACCTTATTTTGGCAATGCCTTAGTCAAGGTCACGGGTGAGCGACCACCTTTGATCTCCAGCGAGTTTGCTTGAGGTCCGGCTGCATTCGGGACCTTTCGAACGTTTTCTGGGCGAAATCTAACGAGCTCACCGGACGGGGGCAGGGGGAACGAGGGCTCCTTGCTTGTGGAATCCGGGAGTCCAGCCAAGGTGCCTTGAGGCTATGTTGGTGTGTCTCCTCAAATTTAATGTTTGCGGTCCCTACCTATTTTCGATTCAGAAAGCTTTTTGGACCCATTTCTGGACCCCGAGCCAACCCAAACCCAACTCTAAACCCCCAAACCACCCCAAGCCACCCCCAAACAATTAAAACCCCACAAACTTACCCCACAAACCCACCCAAAAATTTCCCTCCTCAACCCACCCACAGGAGAGGACCTCCACCACAGAGAACCCCCAGATCCTGCAGCTCCTCTCCAAGCAGCTCCGGGCCGAACTGCAGCTCCAGAGGTATAAGGCGGAGGGTGTTTGGGGGGGGGGGGTCGTTTTTTTTGTTTTTGTTTTTTTTCTCCCTCCCCAGAGGGCACACATTTTTGTCAGGTCTGAAAGGGGATCCAACAGGAACACAAGTTTGTGTCCCGCTGTCTTTGACATGTGGATGGTCGCGAAATCCAGAGATCGCACCACGAAAGGAAGCCATGGTGGAAGCCATGGCGTTGGTTGGTACTTGCGGGGAAATCGAATCATTCCAGGGTTTCGTTTTTGTGGGCACTTGCAAAGAAAAACACAATAAAACAACATACGAGCAGTTGCCTTGGTGGCTCCCAGCCATCCATTTTGTTATTTTATATTATTATTTTTGGCTTATGGTTGGGTTTCTCCATTTAAGCCACTAAAAGTTAGACTTGTAGCAGGCATCAGAAGAACCAAACACTTGTTTATTTCTCAACAAACATGTGGTTCTCCCCGAAACCGGATGTTGTTTCCGAAGTGGTTTCCCTTTGATCCAACCCCCCCCGCCCAAAAAAAAAAAGTACCCTCAAAAGAACACGTACCCAAATGAAGGTGCATTTTTGTTGAGGCGCACTTTTGTGACGGATGCCTTAAGCAACAAAAAGCAAACCCGGCCAGCAGAGGTCCATTTTTTCAGCACCCTCGCCATGCTTCCAGCAGGTGTACTTGGAACGCATCACCTTCGTGCAGCGGCTGCTTGGCTTCGCCCGCAAAAAACGAGAACTTCGTGGGCCAACTAAGCCAGTTGACTCTCTAGGGGTACTTTCCCCATTCTTTCCAGGGATCCTTCTTTCTAGAAAACCTCCGGAAACCTAGGGAACACGGCCAGTTTTTGGAAAGAACGATGGTCGAAAATAATGGGGAATCAACAACTAGAGACTCAGGCCACTCCTCCGGGTTTTGGGTGAAATATCAAATCGGAAAGCTTTTTTGTTTTTTTTAAGCAACACTTTAGCCTGGGTGACGCCACTAGCTATTGCTCCTTCAGCTATGCTTGGATCAACTTGGCCTCAGATTGAGCCGTCTTGGGGGAATGACTTTCCCGCTTGGCCAAAAGGTCTCGCGAATGGGGTTGAACTTCAACCGACCTGACCGGAGGTTTCTTTCATAGGGCAAAGCTTCATAGAACTTGGGGGTTGGCAAAATAGGAAGCGACCAGAGCAAGGAACCCTTCTTGAACATGGAGATGGTCACCAGGGGCTGCTATGGCTCTTGGCCTTCCCTCCGAAACCTTGGAGGCAACAGGCCCAAGGAGTCTTTCTGCCCTCGGATGGTGAAGTGACTGTCTGTGCCGCAGGTGGGCTAAAGGCTAAAGGCCCGAGCTCACGCCAGTTAAGCTGGCCGGACTGGGCAACCCTGGGCTCTCCGGGCGCCAGAACATGTTGCTCGCGGTACCTTGAATGTGGCCGAGATAAGGCAGCACACATGACACGCACCAAAGCATATGGCTACACCAGGGCTGGGTAAAGCCGATCAAGGACCAGATCCAAAGCGGAGGTTCAGGAGCTCAATTCGGGTCTATGTTTTCTTAAGAGACCCCTCAAAATGGTTGGTGTTTTCTTGGTTTCCCTTTCATCCAAGCTCAAAAAGGGCGCACTTAAGAGAAGATGCTCCCCTTCCTCTCCTCTAGAGTCGATGGTTTTCAGGTGATTTCCGTTGATCTGAAAATGTAAAACCGCCCCACCCAACATGGCGGTAGGTCTCCAGTTGTTTGCGAAGAGCCTTTCTTGTCCTTGGGTTCCTATACATGCGTGGCCCTACCGCTAGGAAACCAAGCTTAGCACCCTTCCAAGAGTTTGTTCCAAGTAGCTTCCCTGAACCATACGGGTTTGTCGTTTTTTGAGGGTACCTTTTTTTGTGGTTTTAAGGGGACACCAAAGGAACACCACCCATTTCGCATACGTGTCTGTTGAGGATAGATGGCGCTAGTTTAACTTTGGTTCCGATAATTACCAGTACCATGCCATCCAAAAAAACAGGTTTCTCCACCAAGGTAAGCCTTTTTGTTTACAAGGGGTGGTGGTGGGTGGTCGGGTGCCAGTTCCATTGGGTGCCAGTTCCATACATCTTCCAAGAACCTTTATGCAAATGCCCGCTTTGCGGCCTTTGGTTTCCTTCCTACAGACCGAGGCTGTTGGAAAACGAGCCCACCAGCCAGGAGGGCATGCAAGATGCCAATGCCAGTTGGGTTTAACGAGGTCGGTCCTCAGGTTCTCAGGTGGTTTGTTGAGCCGAAGAATATCAGCACACGAAAATTCCGGGATGGACAGGTGGATGCTGCTGGGGCTAAGGTTGCCATGACTTGGGGTATTCACCCCCGAATTTCCGCACCTGGTCTTGGCTTTTCCATTTCCCATGTCCCATTTCGTTTCGAAGTGACTTACAGCCAAGCTTGCCAACAACTCGACCCAAGCAGACAACCACTCTTTGGTTTTGCTTCTATCCAATTCAGATTTTGGCATGTGTCAGGGAATGGTGGGTTTCTGGTTAAATTAAGGTGGAAAGGTACACAGGCACACACACACACATGTGTTTTTGGAGCCTCACTACCCTTTTCGCAGCTGGCTTTCGAACCGCAACCAAAAGGTGCAAGGTTAAAGGGAAACCACCCTAAGTGCTAGGTTAAAGGGCAACCGCCCCAGTTTCTGACTTTGATACCCCCCTCCGTTTGCCCTCCCCAGACTAACATGCAAGCTCCCAAAGCCCCTTTGGAAGACTTGGTTCAATTTACAGAGGCCTTCTGCAAACCCATGTTAATCTGAAATCTGAGGGAGTGTGTTTGGACACACACACACATGGACGTTTCTGCTTTTGGGGAGCCCCTTATTGGTTGGCTTGACAGAAAACAAAAGCGCGCCCGCCGTTTTTGGGGCTTCCATTTTTTTGGGGCAGGCCCCCAAACACCCCCATGTGCACCCAAACCCAAAACCACCCCCCATGGACCAAAATTGGACCGAACCACAGCCCGTGTTCCACGCCACGCGGTTGTCATTCAAATGGCTGTGGGTCAAAACCGATGGTACCATTTTGGGAAAGGTGAATTCACCCATTTTAGAACCTTTGTTAGCGGTGGATTGGGATGTTCACCGGGGGTACGATTTGGATTTTTACCCATGGCCAAATCACCATTTCTCTCATTAAACTCACCCTTTCATGGTTGTTGTTGGGAAGCATTTTTTCCATTTTTGCTTGTGGTGGTTTAGCGGTTGAAATCCAACCCCTGAACTGCTAAGATCTGAGAATGATTGCTCCCCAAACCCAACGTCAACCAAGAACTTGGGGATTGATGCTCAGCAACTCAGGAAGTGGACCACAGACTCTTTGGGTTTGGAGCGGGGGGAATTCGGGGATTGATGTCCAACGCCAACCATTGTTTTTCTCCGCAGGAGGAGCGGGTGCTGCAGCAGATGGCCATGGAGTCGATCTTGGTTGCCGACGCCGGCGAGGAGCCATCGGTTCAGTATCTCTGCAGCCCCGAAACTCACCCCGAAAAATGGCGGTCTCCTGCTAGACCCGGAAAAAGAAAGAAAGAAAGAAAGAAAAGACATAAACAAAAACAAGTGGCGCCTTCAAACTGGAACACAACGCTCCAGATTAGAGCTCGCTTGCTTGAAACTTCCGCCCTGCAGCTGGAAATTGCTGGTACTGTGGCCCTCCAGACACTTGAACATAAGAATCTAGGCAACTCAGCAGACCCCCCTATTCGGCAGTTTTTGACATTTTTGGAAGGCACGTTGGCGTGCAGCAGGTGAGACAGGCAGCTGTAGGAAACTTAGAGCGTGTTCTTGAGGGCTGTTCGGGCTTCACCTACGATTAAGTTAATTTGGGCAGGTGGGCCATATGTCTGTTATATTGGTCCATGGCATTTGGGCATGCTAGCGGCCTTGATGGCGCTCTTCGATGTGTTTGTTGGGGCCTGCGAAGATGAGAAGGCCGTGTTTCCCGAAACCGTCTGGCGACATGCCTTTTCACCATCCTCCTCGGTCTGAGACCACAGCTCCTGCATCTTATGGAGGAGTTGCAGAACCCCCCAAGCTCTTTGCACATGCTGTTGTCGCACACACACACACACCTCCAAGGAACCAAGAAGCAAACTAGAAGAAGTTAGGGTTTTCTTGTCAGATCGAGAGATCGCGCGAAGGACCGTGCTGCGAGGAAAGAGTCACGTGTCTTTTGGTGACCTGAGCCTTAGAAAGGTTGAGACACTGGCTGATGGACCCAGGCGGTGACGACCGAGTGCTCAGGCCAGGTCATGAGTGCTGCCTTTGAGAAATTTTCCATTGGCAAGTTCGACCGTGGTGCCGTCCACTTTTCGCAACCCTTGATGAGCCCAGCGAGCGGGCAATCTTTCACAACTACTTAGTGGATTTCTGCCAAGTATCTTTGAGGCAGTTTGCAGAAGCGCTTTCAAAGGAAGCCAAGAAGGCCGCGCTTCCAAAGGAAGCCAAGAAACGCAAGCAAGAGCAAGGACAGCTGGTCGAGGAGTTTTGAGCGGCGCAGAAGAGAAGAAATTTGCCAGCTGCCTTCACTTGCTCGCAAGTCCCAGTCCCACTGCCCCGCCTACGTACCGCACTTCTCCTCCGCACCTCCCGTCCCACCCGCATCCCGCACATGCACCACGTCCCACACATTCCGCGCGTCCCGTCCCCCACCCCACGCCCCCCACGTCCCCACGTCCCGCAAGTCCCGTGTCCCGCGCGTCCTGTCCCCCACATCCCCCACATCCCCAACGTCACCCACGTCGCCACGTCCCCCACATCCCGCACGTCCCGCACGCCCCTCACATCCCGGGACACGCGAAAGTTAATCCCAAGAATGGTGACTTCAAAAAAAAGACACCCAGTTGGCGGTTAAACCAACTCGGACAAGCCCCGGACTGGGCCCCCTTAAGCGAATGAAAGTTTGGACCATTCAGCTCTAAATATTGTAAGTAAGCCACCTGCATCGGTTCCCTTTCTTGCAAGGTTGACGTCCATATATACCTGAGTTGCTTTCCATCCAACACCTGGTTTCTCTGTTTAAGGAAATCACACGCGTTTGATTTCCAAAATCGCTCTGACTCCCAACTGAGAAAAAGCACGCCTTCTTGGACGTCAAGCCCAGGGCTACATGAAGCACCACCGCGATCAAGTAGTCTGGGTCCACTTCTGGTGACGGGTTTGCTTTTTTCGCCGCCAGCTTTTTAACTGCCCAAGGTTCCTCCCTTACAATGTCTTCGCGGGATCTCCGTACGGAAGATGGCTATCGGATTACTCAGGATCTCTGGGGTAGGTACTGTGCGAACCTGGGGGGACCTCCCCCTTCGATGCAGGACCTGCTGGCCCTAAGTTGATAAGGATTATGTCTCATCCTTCCTCCTAGTTTTATCCAGGTCGGCTCTCATGCTGCCTTTTGGAGGAAGCATTGAATTCAGTGCCAGAAGAAG